GGTCAGAACTCTAGACAATATTGTTCTTCAATTCGACTACAATATCTAAATATTGTAGTCAATCATACCGCCTACAGAACCGATATGTTCGCCCTCGGTGACTTACCTGAATCTGAATCTACCGATTATGACATCACTCGAGGCAATCTGCCCATTCAGTCGACGAATCCGACTTTTACACATCGATGATCTCCACTATTTCATCTTTCCTCGAGATCCTGCCGATCACTATTACGAATCCAAACATCTCTTACATATCCGTCACAGAAGAGACACAGATTCAAATCCCCGGTAACTGAATGGCTTTTGCATACTTCGCTACTTACAATGTCGGTATAAGACGTATCAACTCTTACAAACTTTATTCCAATTTAAACTAAATATGACTAGTATGTCAATCAAACGAGTAATGATATTTTTGCTACATTATGAGACGTGGCATTAAGTTAGAGGATGATGTAATTTGTATTAATGAAAAATATTAATTGTAGAATTTACGTATTTTTACTGAGAAGCCACATGTAATATTTATTGGAGAAATTTTCGGGTAGAACACATTCTGTGTCGAAACGTGAATGCTGTATCGCGTGAGGTTGCATTCGAAGACTGAACTGAGAGTGAATGACGCGAAAAAACGTCGTCTAGACTAATCTTTTAAAATATCCTAATACATATTCACCGAAGTGTGTCTGTAAAGGAATGTCACGCTCTGAGATTCTATATACATAGTTTATGGTTTTCTTATTATTCATACATTCTGTATGTACGAGTAATTTTGGTAGAGAAAGAAAGACCTACGCGTATTATCTTGCTTTTTATTGTGTGAAAAAACTTTTTATAAAGGCTTTGCAAAACACATACGTTTTGTAACTGTAAATACAGTAGTTAAATACTGTAGTTCCTATTCCATATAAATTTTATTAATTAGCGTTTTGAATTAAAAATGTATAATATGCCATATACTAACATTTCGTTCGCTTGTTCGTGATCAATATTACTTTGAATTTTTTGTACGTAGCATTTTAATTAATCGTGCAAGTTTTGTTTAACGCTTTAATGCTTTCAAGTTGCTTTACTTAAATACCTGCTTTATTCCTTTCCTTCCCTTCATTCCTTTGGAAATGTAAAAAATTATCAAATAGTTATGATTCATACGTGACTTATTAGACAATTCTTTACATTTCCTCCTGATGGAAGAAACCACCACCTTTCCGCGGTTTCCGTCGAGCAGTAATATGGACATGAATATTGATTTATTATTCAAGAATGTTTATAAAAGAATATAACACACCTGTTATTTATTAAAATTGCATGTGCAGTCGTGTGTGTGTGACTTTGGTTTGTAACATATTGAAATGAGTGAAAATGTTTGTGAAATAGAGTTCTAACACTACACTCCTGTCCACGTTCCTGGCCAAGAGTGGGTTCCTTATTTTCCAAACTTTCAACTTTACAGTGCTTTTTCGTTTATTTTTCTGCGTTAGTTCTTAAACTACCATTTGTATAAATTTTCAGAAAGGCTTGATATTACCCGAAAACACAATCAAAACAATAATATAAATAGAGGAAATATTGGAGGTTATGCCAGGTATAAAGTTATTTGATGTTTACATTTCGCAAACAAACGTTGATTGAAACATTTTGCCAATGTCACTGCGAATGAATATATACAATCAGCAGCTTCTCTTTTGGATGTAACCTCTTGCAGGAGACAAATATGATAACATATTCGTAGTCATGATATTCGCAATGATTGACAGCAGACACACGATAATACTCCATAAATTCCTTATCAACGTTACCCGGTGTTTCACTTGCAGCAGACTTACTGTCGACACGTTCAAATTTTTCTTTTGCAAAAATTCTCTAATTTATAATAATAAACGATGATAATTAACGTAATCTTACTTGCACACGAAGCAGTAGGTCCATCCATAGTTCGATCGGGTTTATGCAACTCCTTGTTGAAAGAATTTAATCGTTTAATGACGTTAGGTCTCGCGTAACGTAATGGCGTGCAAGTAAAGCATGACAAATAAATCTCGTATTTTTGAAAATTTTGTACGCTTTTGTTGTTTAGATATCCGTTACACTCTTTATTTAGGTAAGTTTAATACATTTATTTGACTTCCATAATTAAAAATGTCCAAAAGTTTAACAGAAATACGCTATCATACATCTATAATGTAGTAAATGACGTTAACAGTTGATGATTGTGACCGACGTGGATGCAATCTAGAATGATAAAACATTTATTATCGAGATCGAGCCACGGTCGCTGTATATAACGTGGCGCGGTAAGTACGAAAATATAAAGAGATGTAAAAAAGTTAATTCTTAAATATCAAACTATGAAAAAACAACATCCTTGAGTACGGCATAACCTAGTTTAACTGTCTGTAACTTCCATAAAAGTGAATATATTGCAAACAATTTTTTTTTCAATCAAAACATTAAGGAACATAACGGTATCAAGTTAACGTATGTATCTTTATTAACGAAAAAGTTATAAGCAATGCCAAAATGAATTTAAAAAGTTAGAAAAAAGTCGAATATGCCAAAAAGGAGTTTGAAGGGTCCTCTACATAGAAGTCATAGACAGTCGTGGAGTCTTAAAATCGTCGGAAACTGACAAATTCTAATCGAGTATTCTCCTTATATTTGATTGTGATTGTTTGGTTTCCTATGACTTAAAACTCGACGATCGTCTACGACTTCTATGTAGAGGACTTTTAAGAATTAAGAATATTGATGTTGATGTTACTTATAAAAAAATACTGATTGTGTGAATATCTGCTTTTATTGCGTGTAATGCTATGAATCGTAGGAAATCGTTTAATATTATGAAAATAATATAGATTTTTTTATTGAAATATAGAATATAAAATTGCTCACAAGTGGCATGCGGCGAATGTATTCAGACATGAAACACATAATATATTTTTATATTCTGTTGATTGCATTTATCTAAAGTCATGTCAGGATTGATAACATCTGTCGCAACTCTCAAGTTGAATACATAATGCTTATTCTAAACATTATTGGCACTTGTAAACGACTATTTTTTTGTATAAATAACATATATCACAAATATTGTCATATAACTCATCGCGCGAGACATTTGGAAATAATAAAGATAACATAATTTTTAATCTATGTTGCGTAATGATAACGAGTGAAAAAAACTCGCAACAATACACTGAGAAAAAAATACTGTTAATTCAATTAAAGTCTATATTACGGGCTGTCACTAACATAAGTGATTAATTCATGTATATTTTTATTGACATAAAAGCCTCGATTATTGAAATAATAATTTATGCCTTTATGTATACATGAATTAATCACTTATCTTAGTCATAGCCCGTTTTATAGACTTTAATTGAATCAACAGCATTTTTTTCTCAGTATACATATTTGATAGATTTAACTAATTCTAAAAATGAAACAATTTTATTAATTTCATCACATCTACGCTTCGCATGAGGAAGCCATAACATTATCTCGAAATTTCACAACGTCTAAATCTCTATCTAGAATGTGAACTTCGATAATAATAATTAATATCAAGGCACATCATCGATATTCTGCGGTACAAGAATAACGTATTACATTCAATAATGTATTATACTTTACGTATACATTTTGTACATCTATATATTTAAATATTGACGTAGTTCGTTGTGTAGATTGTGTATACATCATGCGCCTATTAATATCTAAAAATCTAAATTTAATAGAGATACATCTCACCTTATCTACGCTCAACAAAAGATAAATTCGTAGTGTCATACTTTGTCATTATAAAACTTTTCTTTCACCCTTTCGTTTGTTTGCATTCAATCACGGCATTAATTGTATTTTGGCGTAACTAATAGAGTAATTTGTAATTATCTTCAGTTTGTGATCAAGATAATTTAAATTTCAACATTGTAATAAATTAGCAGAATAGCTGAATTAAAACGAAATTTGCAATTTAATTTGTAATTTTTCGATTTTGATCGTTTAATTGTATACTTATGTGTAGAAATAGTTTATTGAGTCAAGGCAAAAAAATAACTTCGCTACACAAAACTTTGCTACACATTTGGCGCACGCGATTTCGTCAGTCTTAACGTACCAAACTGATATTTTATAAAAAACAATATTTAATATCATTCGAGCCGTAGAATTACGTAGAATATAAGGAATGTAACGATTATAATAAGTCTTTTATTCGCAGAGCGAGAAAGAGCATGTCAGTATTTTTTGCAAAGGAATATACGATTTATACGGTGTGTAATCTATCTTAAAGAGTTATTCTACGCATTTTTTAATATTTGGTTTAGTATTTGATGTTTCATCTATCATTTACACAAGACACATGTGTCTAAAAGAATTTACATTTCAATTCAACAAATATACGATTAAAGAGATTTATATATCATTTGTACGTTTATTATAGGAATTTATTATTACTGAGCTAGGAAAATCGATTGAAATTCTTTAATTTTTTTTATGTAACTGCCACATTTACGTTTAAAAAATTATCTGTGCATGCAATATGCTCATTCGTATGTACATTCGCGATTATTATAATTACGTGATTTTTTAAATATTTTTTTTGCGTTTCATGCAGTATTATTTATAATGCTAATTATACATTAATATATGTGTGCATATAAAAAAAAATTTGATGTGAATTTGCTTACACTGAGAAAAATTTCCGGGCTTTATCCGTTCAAAAAGTAACAAACAGATATTTCGGATTGATTTTGATCGGATTTATAAG